CATCATCTGGACTTTTACTGGGGGGTAGGGGGATAGGAAAGAAATCTTCTCTGCCCAATAACCTACTTTAACAAGACCCGAAAGGTATTCATGCCGCATAAAAATATAGTTATTGATTTCTTTCAGTTTAGAGACTTGTGGGATAGGTTAAAATGTTTTGCAGTTTGTACAGTATGGAAAAGGGCTTCATTGATCCCAAAATCAAGAATCTAAATTAGAAAAGGTGTTTGACATGCCAGAGGAAAGTTTAGTGTCTCTTTGATCATTTGTACTGAAAACTAAACGTTGTTCATATGTTCTTACATTCGATCCATGGAGTGGGGCCAATCTAGACCTCTCCATCCATGAATTTCCTTCATTGAGCTGGTACAGTAGGTTTTAAGGGAGATTGTAAGCACATTCAGCTGAATATTCTTCTATTCCTCTCTGTACAATTCTTATTCTGACCTTCCTCTCGATGTGGGAAGGTCAGGGGAGAAGGGAACAAAGCTGCTACATATCGTGTCATAGTTCTCTTTCACACTTAGAGTTGTATCCAACATGGTCAGTCCAGAAGCGAAAGGACCATTGCACTAGCAGAAGTCTATTTCTGATTGTGGTGCAACGGAGGAAACCAACCTAACAGATTTGCTGGTGGATCTTCTTGTTCGTGAGCTAACAATTTTACATTGTCTACTTGTGGAACATCTTACACAAAAAGATCCACTCGTTCAACATGGCCAACTTATTGTTGTTGGCATCTGTCTGTTTTGAGAGACAATGGAGTGCATCTCTGGGGGTGAAGGCATAAGCCTGGGCAGTGTGTATGGAGGTCCTGGGCTGCCCAGACAACAAGACCCCCCTCTCTGCTTCACTGAGGAGGCCCAAAGGAAATAAGAGCAATATGCTTGGCACCAACTTGGCTGCAGGAGTTGCCAGAAGGAGGTGTACAAGGTGCCATCCAATCATTTTAAGCACTCCACTCCAGATTTGTGTAGGATTTACTCCATAGCCTTTTCTTCACCCATAGACATCCTGCAAGGCAGCAGAGGTTTAGGATCTGAGTTTACCTTTTCCTAGATGGGCAACCTTCCCAGCCTCATATGCCCCTCACTTCCCTCTACAGTATGTGCAAAAACCACCTTCTTGATCGTTGGGTTCACTACTGGTGTTGTCCACTTAATCTGCAAGAACCTGTGAACTTCATGGCGAAGTGGGGATTTGAATCCTTGTTTCCCGGGTTATTGTCATTACCATTACCACTACTCCATACTGGCTCATTCTCATATCAGTTTGCTGGTGTGGTTTTTTTTTTAAAAATTAAACCCCTCACAAATATTTTAGTGTCCCATTCTCCTAACAGATACACCTTTGCATGCAATTTTGCCACATATTAACATTTTTCTAAGCAGTTCCTCCTAATATACTACATTTTCTGTTAGGGAAGGGGTTGGAGAAGTGCATCACATTATTGCAATCGAAACAGAACTGAATTTCTCCTCCATCTCTGATCACAGCAAGCACCTCACCCCCAGACAAACAAGGTACAGCATGTGTGACTTGGGGCTATTATTTTGTAATCCTGTGTTATACCCACTTAGAGAATACAGGGGGGAATTCTGGTGAGCAGATATTATGGGGAAGCAAAACGTTGCACAAAAAACAGAGAAGCACAAGATAGAACTGTGCAAAACGTTAACCTCTTGAGCATGTATGAAAACTATTGGACAGTACTAATACTTCTCCATCCAGAACTGAGACAGGAACCTTGCATTGGGACTCCAGGTGTAGGACATGGCAGATGTCTCACAGGTGTAGCAGCACTGCATCTACAGCCATTAATTGTGAGTACAGGGTTGATCTATAAAATGCTTGACTTTTCTGTATTGTGTGCATTACCCCAAGGAGTGAAGGTGAAATATAATGAAGCCCAGATCTTAAATTAAACATAACTCCCAAATGATGTTGCTAAGCATCTAGCAGATATACTGAAAACAGTATTTCCTGATCAAATCTCTTTCAGTTTATCTGGGTAGTGGCTACAGGGTATTTTTGCCGCTCTAAAATTCATGGGATATTTCTTTTTTTCCTGTTGGGGGTTTTTAACCCTTCCATAGCACAAATTCAGTCGTCTGTGAAGCCTTATGACTACAAAACTCAGCATGAATGCGAGTGTAATATGTTTGTGCAAAAAAATAATTTAGGGTCTCATCTGAAGGCGAGCTATGGTGGGGGAGGGAGATAGAAGGAATGGAATGGAAAGTGCTGGTAGGGCTTCTGTGGAAAATCACCACAAAACACTAATGTCTCGCATCAAATGTAGCTGATCTGTAGAAAAGACTCTGCAATCTGAAAAAAGAGGCAATGCACATACTTTTGTAAACCAAGAAAATATTGAATAAAAATTAGTTTTTTTAAAAAGGGTTACAACAGGAGATTCTTCTGCAGAATTTTCACGCATCCTTCTGCCCCTTTGTGTGCATCAGGGATTATGAAGCCAGGTGTTGTTGTTGTTGTTGTTGTTGAGCACAGATGTCGTGGTTTGAGAAATCGATTGTCATTGTTAACACTGCCTGAGTTGCATTCAGAACCTGCCAGACACATGGTAGAGAAAGTGTCGGCAATGCATACATCCTATGGTTTGATTCCACCCCCCGGGCCTGACCAGTTTTACAGCTGACAGAGTGTGTGTGACCACTGCTTATTTACTGACTGTCTGATCTTAAAAGACATCCTTGCTACAGACAGCAAATTATTAGCATGGTTGAAAAGGACCAAGGGGGAGATTGTCTTTCCTTGAAATAATGAGAACACTAAAGTAGGCAATTTTCTCAAGGACCAAGCTATAAGTAATTAACTAGATGATGTTATCGCACTGGTAATGTACCCTTAATTTACACCCCTTCTATTCCAATGAGCCAAACACATAGTTCAGTGAAAGAGGAAGAGATCTAACAAAGGATGCTGATTTATACATGCTTCGTAAGGGGAGGATGGGAAGTTATATGAAAGTTGTAAAGAAGTTCAGAGGAAGATGATTCGGAGTGTCAGGAAGTCGTCATGGTTGAGATCAGTGTCACCCATGGGTGCAGACCATGACACCCTCAAGGCACTCTTAAATTTTGCTGATTGTATAAAGTAGGCCACAGTCTCCTGACGTTGAGGTGCATGAAATTTTCAGAGTTTGGTTTTGTTTCCTCCGTCAGTTTTATAATGACACTGACACCTTGAACTATCTATTGATATTTCCCCCTTGGCAACAATTCTGTTTCCCTGTAGTGTCTTCATATGGTAGCACATTCAACCAGTAATGTTTTTTTTAAGCTCTTACAGGTCTTGGGAATGTATCATCCTTATTGGCTTCCTGTCCAATTCTATATCGATTTCAAAATCATGCTTTTAAGCACGCCTCACTTACCTGGCATCTTCCCTCTATGCCTGGAAAGGAGAAAGCTTAAGGATCAACGTCGAGCTGCCCTGGGCACTTGAATGATTATACAAGCACCTCTCCAACTTGCTACTTCTTAGTCACAAACCTTCCCTGAAGTACAATCAAGGGAACTAGAATCAGAATATTCACTACAAAATCATTTCTATACTTTGAAATATACACCATGAGAACAGATCTGTACGGTTAGACCTAGCCTCAATTAATCAATCTATCAATATATCTATATCTAGCTAGTTAGCTATGCCATTTAATTTATTTATTTACCTTGACTGCTCAGTGTGGGTCAAGGGTGGTTTTAGACACAGGTGATTGTGGTGGTATTTAGAGAGGATTATCAAAACTGACACACACCAGGCAATTCTTTCCTGACTATAAGGTTAGTTTGTGTTTTTATTAGCATTCCTCACAAGGAAATGAATAAAATAGTTTTTAAAATTGAATACATAAAGTATCAAGATATCAGTTCAAATACATTGACCATGATGGCTGGGAGTGCTGGGTGCGGGAGTTCAAACACCAAGTTGGAGAAGGATTGTATGATGATCATCATCATCATCCTCCATTTATAAACCGCCTTCTACAAAGCCATTTCAAGACAAGGCATAACAAAAAGCAGACCAACCAACCCCAAGCAAATTGGTCAGCTGTGGGGCTGGTTCTGCAGCGACTGGTCCTGCGGTGAATGCCCAGCCTTAGGATGTATAAGTATGGGGAAAGCTAGAATCAAGAAGAGCCTGGACCAGCTCTTAATTCAGAGATGGGGAATACCTGGCTTTCCTGGTGATGTTGGACTTATTTGTCCCATCCATGGTCAAGAATTCTGGGAGTCATAGTCCTTCAATATCTGGAGGGCAATGTGCTCCCTGTCCTAACTACTTGGTGTGGCATAGGACCATAGCATTGGATATATAATGACTCTTACTGAAGTTGGCTGAGGAGACAAAGCTCCAGCTGAAGACCTCTGAAACTTAGCCTGTGTCACGACTCATGGGCTAACTTCCTAGTGAAATCAGAGATGTGTAGAGCTTCTTCCAGTTCTTTTATTTAAATCAAGAGAATACACAGAGACACCATGAATTATGCTCCCTCAGTCTCAAGATGTTGCTCAGAGTGCTCGCTCCACCCCTCTTGCAGTACTTCCTAGCTTCCAAACCCCTCCTTACCGCCTACGGTGGACCCAGGAATCTTTTTGTCTCTGTCTTTCTGCTCTAAGATATGAAGGAAGTGCCTGGTTCTCAGAGAAGGAGGAGGTTCTACCAGGCTTTCAAGTGACATAGTGTCCATTGTCTGCTGTGCTGTTTCTCCCACTTCTGAATCCTGTCTCTGTTCAGGACTAGAGCATCTAGTTTGCTCCTGTTCCTCATCCTCCATTATTTCCCAGCTCTTTGCTTCTTCTTCTGGAGTGTGACCTGTTCGTCATCACCACGAACCTGGGTCCATACTATTGTCAGCTTCCTTCTGCCCAGAAGCCTCTTGGTGTGGAAGTCTCCTCCTCATCTGCCCAGTCCCTGACAGCAAATTCTAAAGATGCTAAGTAAGGCATCTTTCCCTCGTTACCTTTCAGGCTGGGAGGCTAATGCTGGGGATTGAACCTAGGACCTTCTGTACCCAAAGCAGATGCTCGACCATTGAGCTACAGCCCTTCCCTAAATGCAGCTTGATGACAACTCCCATCACCCCTGATTATTGGCCTTGTTGGCTGGGCTGATGGGAGTTGTTGTGCAATGTTATATGGAGGGCTACAGATTAGCTAACTCACTTTAGGGGACCAGTGTGCGGCAGGAGGAGGACAAGAATCCTCACCCTCACAGACAAACCAGAGAGGAAACTTGGTTCTTGGATTTTTTTGATTTTTTTTTTAAGCATTCAGAAATACAGTCGGGATGGTATAAGGTTCACCTTAGAACTGATTGAAAAAGTGTGTGTCTGAGCCTGAAGGGCTGAGTTTTGCTAGAGCTTTCATTTTCTGTTTGAGAGGCCATAAAGCATTCTGAGGAATATAAATTCCAGGAACCGTGTTTGTAGTGCTGCTGCATTTAATAGTTTGTCAGCATTTCCCATATTTCCAAGAGGTTTATAACATGGCCATAAAAATTCACTGAAAGATAGAACTTGGTAAGACTTGAAAAGTACTCTTCCTGTGCCTTTACCTTTGTCAGATTTCTTTCCCCGCTTTTCATCCTGAAAAAAGAAAAAGAAAAGGAGGAGGTAGGGGAAGGGGAAGGGGAAGAGGAGGAGGAGGAGGAGGAAGAGGAAGATGAAAGCCACATATTTTGGAAAACAAATAATAGGTGCCCAGTCATTTGTAGCAATACAATCTATGATGAATTGTTAAACATGGGAGTATACAAGTAATGTTAAATTCTTAGCTTTAGGGCCTTCAGCAATGCCCATCCATACTGACATCTGGCACCAAGTCTGCGTTGCAAAAGCAATAATATAGAACCAGACCAGTTTCTCTCTCTCTCTGTGTATATATATATATATATATATATATATATATATATATATATAACATATCATTTTCAACAGTAATTAAACATATTTTTACATCTTAATTTTTTTTGACTTCCATCAGTCCTGTCTGAAAATTTTCCAATTTAATCTCTTAGTATGCATTTCTTATTTTCCCTATTACATTTCAAACACATAACCAATATCTCTATCTTTTTCTACTTTGTAACACTTCGTATATTTCTCCTTACAAAACTTCTTGTAGTCCTACTAGCATAATTTGTTGATTACAGTTGCTCTTCAAATAATTCATATACTTCTTCCAATCTTCTGTAAATCTTTGGTCCCGCAGGTTTCGAATCCTTCCTGTCATTTTGTCCAATTCTGCATAGTCCATTCATTTCATCTGCCATTCTTCTTCCGTTGGAATTTCTTCTTGCTTCCATTTCTGGGCTAACAAAACTCTTGTCGCTGTTGTTGCATAAAAGAACAGTTTGACATCTTGTCTATTAATGTCTTGGCCTATAATACCAAGTAAAAATGCTTCTGGTTTTTTAAAGAATGTATATTTCAGCATCTTTTTCATCTCATTATATATCATTTCCCAGAAGTTCTTTACTTTCTTACATTCCCACCACATGTGATAAAATGTTCCTTCTTTTTCCAGAAGCAGACCAGTTTCATGGGGAACCACATCCGCATATAGACACAGAGAGTGTGATCTCTTAAAATCATATAACATAAGAAGAACCTGCTGAATCAAGACAGTGGCCCATCTAGTCCAGCATCCTGTTCTCACAGTGGCCGATCAGATGCCTATTGGAAGCACAATAGAAGGACCTGGGCACCACATCACTCTCCCCTCCTGCAGTTTCCAGCACCTGCTGTTCAGAAGCACACTTCCTCTGACTGTGGAGGCACAAAATTGCCTCCATTATGGCTAGCAGTCTTATACTTCAGGAACTTCGCTGATTCTCTTTAGAGGCATCAAACTTGGTGTTCCATAGTGCTGTGTTTCATGTGTTGTGTGAAGAAATACTTTATTTTATCTGGGATACTGCTTTGATGAGAATATATCCTTCAATTGATAAGAAATGGGAACATGGTTAGGATCCCAGTATTCATTCCAGGTCTGGGCAATCATGGAGAATCATGAAGGTTGAATTTGCACGTTGCCATGTCCTCTTTGTCTGGGGACTGAAGGCTGAATGGAAGGTGATAATGAGTCTCTGGATTTAATGGATAGGTCTGAATTTTTTAGTAGCACCAGTGAGGGGTAAGGATTGATAATGAGTAGGATCAGAGCAGGCAAGGAGGAATAACCTTACCCTTCACCCCTGCAAGAGTTGTGAAGAAAACCACCTTTCTGAAGCACCTATTTGCTTTGAGGGAAAGTTCTTCACTGGTGCCAATGCAGTTTTCCCCAATGCAAATACTCATTTCAGACAATGGATTTTCTTCAAAACAGAACTCTGCCCTTTGGGAAAGATCCCCCCCCCCCCCCCAAAAAAAGTTGTTAAGCTCACAGAAGGCCAATAATATACACCACCAGCTTAACTTGGATCCAGTTACATACAGAGTGAAAGGTAATAAAACATAGATTTGATTAAGCCCTATGTCTGCTCTGATCCCATTAATCTCCACCATCCCAAGCAATTGCTATTTACATTGATGTGAATATCCATTTAACACTGTGTCTGGTTGGGCAGCCTGAGACCTGAATGAGCACTAGAAATATAGGAAGCTGCCTTATACCAAGTCAGGCTGTTGGTCCCACCTAGCTCAGTATTGTGCGATCGGATTGGCAGTGGCTCTTCAGGGCCTCAGACCTCAGCCTCCCAACCCTACCTGGAGTTGACTGGGATTGAACCTGGAACTTTCTGTATGCTAAACTGCCATTCTACCATGGAGCTACAGCCTCTTCCTGGTCGTTAAATCCTGAGGTTGTTGCTTGTCCTTTTCTAATATAACACCATCATCATGTAGTACAGTTTATGAAGCAGGGCTGATCCCTGATCCCCGAGAAGTTAACTATCCAAAATTTCCATCTTGAAGTTCTTGGCAATGGTCTGATATGGCAACTATAAGAAGTAGTGATGGCCACCAAGTTGGATAGCTACAAAAGAAGATTGGACAAATTCATGGAGGAGAGAGTGAAGAAGAAGAAGAAGAAGAAGAAGAAGAAGAAGAAGAAGAAGAAGAAGAAGAAGATATCCCACTTTATTCCTACCAAAGGAGTCTCAAAGCGGCTAACATTCTCCTTTCCCTTCCTCCCCCACAACAAACACTCTGTGAGGTGAGTGGGGCTGAGAGATTTCAAAGAAGTGTGACTAGCCCAAGGTCACCCAGCAGCTGCATGTGGAGGAGCGGAGACGCGAACCCGGTTCACCAGATTACAAGTCTGCTGCTCTTAACCACACTGGCTCTTTTATCAACGACTATTAACCCTGATGGATATATTCTGCCTGCACTGTCAAAGGCAGTATGCCTCTGAATGCCACTCACTGGGAATCTCAAGTGCTGAAAGTGCTGCTGACCACAGTCATCTGGTTGACCACCATGAGAAACAGGATGTTAGGCTAGATGGGGCACTGGTCTGATCGAGAAAACTCTTCTTCTGCTCTCTTGCTCAAGTTGCATTGATCTTAAAGCATTTGTTAGATTCACTGGATTTATATCCATTCTTGACATGGGGCGAATAAGTGAACATGGGGAATTTCTGCTCCTGTTTTGTTTTCATGAGCATTCACTGACATCTCCAACTTAAGGAAAGGGGTAGACGAAAAGCTGCCATCACCCTTGGCAGTGCTGGCTTGTCCAGAGTTTGCTATGAGCTGTTACTATCCTGCACAATGGATCCCAACTGCGAAGCTGCTCCATTTGGTACATCGATAAATGTGGCCTGGTTCACCTAGTTTTGTGTCTTGCCTCCTTGTTTCCATGTGCGGCCCAAAATGCCTGTGAGTGAGATCAATGCAATGGATGTGTTTGTTTGTTTGTTTGTTTGTTTAAAAAAACCATAATTCCCTTTTGGTCCAGCTCAGAATTTCTCCTTCACAATGCTAAAAGAATAGGTCGCATAAATATTTGAAGAGAAGGTTGGCATAAAGTAAGGATTGGAAATAATTTTCTCAAAACTGTAATTTCTCACTTGGCTTCACCCCAGTTTCCTGCCAACAATCAACTCTTGCAGGTTGTTGGGAATTTAGACAGGATGGATCTTCTGACACAAAGCAGACTTTGTGTGCTCATCAATAAAATATCTGAGATCAGGTCTTTCACAAGGTCAGATATCACCGAGCACTCAAGAAAATACCTTATACTTGTCAGCCTCTCTTGCTTTGACTTTGCTGGACTTCTGACACCACACATCCTGCTCTCTTGGAAAACAAAGAAAAGACATCCCCAGACCATTGTCCCTAGCCTTCTCTACATTGATGGTCCTACAATGATTGATGCTGTCCATCAGAATATGTCAGTAATGAGAGAGAATGGAGAGAAAAATAATTGCAGTTCACATTTTAATGAGAACTTGCTCAGTCTACACTTTCCAAACTGAAACACTGGTGTCTTACAAAATTTATATTTTGCAATCCAGCTCTCCAACTAAAAGAAGACAGATTGTGTAAAAAGGTACATATCAGGGGAAATTGCTTGCAAACATGTATATGTTGGTGAGGCAGGTGTGTGTATAATGCACCCCAAAATGCATTGCATATGAGGAAAAGGCTTGCAAACAACGTTATCATAGAGTTGAAAGGGCCCCACGGGTCATGGAGTCCCACCCCACTCCTCTCAAATGTGTGTACATTTTCACCAAAACCTTTTGGCAGTGCACCTACAGCAAAGACTCATGAGACCAAAGCTTTAGGGTAGGCATAGGCAAACTTGGGCCCTCCAGATGTTTGGGACAACAATTCCCATCATCCCTAGCTAACAGGACCAGTGGTCAGGGATGATGGGAATTGTAGTCCCAAACATCTGGAGGGCCAGAGTTTGCCTATGCCTGTTTTAGGGAAATGGTTATATTGATTGATATAACTAACTGGAAGAACTGCAAACCAGGTTAATTAACTGAATTCAGAAAGCACAGGTGGGGAGGAATGTTGGTAAGAAACATCCCCTCCAGACCGATGATGCAGCCACAGGCTGTGGTTTCCCAGGAAAGGGTTGAGAGAAAAGTTGTCCCTCCTTGCTAGATGAGCCTTGGACATGAACCCAGCATGCACATCCAGGCGCTTCTGCGAAGCACTCACCCAAAATGTGCACATCAAGTCCACTAGGCAAAATGCACTGGGAAATCCCTAAAAGGTTCACTTAACCCAATAATGCCTTAGCATATGTAATGTGTTCTCACCCACTTCCTCACTTGTGCAGACTCATTGCCCCAAAGGGCAATCAACAATGCTACACCCAAATGCCAAACAAATTCTTCCCAGCGCTGTGGAATAGGCAATAAAGGGGAGGGGCCCAATCATGAAATCTCCCCCCCAAAATTCCTACTCAGCCCCTTCAACAGATGACAAACCAAAGCCCATTGCATATAGATAGGGAAGGTGCAAAAGAAACACAAGGAGGAAGAGTTTGTGGGAGGAGCATGTTTATAATCTACCCTCCATCCCCTTCCTGGTTGGCCTTTGGGCCCCACATGACCCACCCCTCCAACATCCCTGCTTTGGTGTTTGCTTTGGGCAAACACACCTCTACTACAAGACTGGGAACATTTTTTATTATTCTTAGCTTGCCACTTCCTTTTTAAAAATCTTGTAAATTTATCAACATTTCAGTGTTACATTCTCCTCACATGTACATTCTAATGCACAATTTCCCCTAATATATACATTTTTCCAATTAACAATTTTGCCGAATGGAAGGGTTTTTTTGTAAGTTATTTTCATTATTTTTACGCATATTTTAGAATATCCATTCTTGCACAAATTACTTGCTTGGAGAGGAGAACTTTGTTGGAAGTTTCACAGAAGCGTGAAATTTGGTGGCTGGCTGTGTTTCAGGTTTCTGTATTGTTTCAAAAAGCGCAAATTACGTAGATTCTCCTTCAAATGTGAGCCGAGTCAGATTTGTCCCCTATCCCTCATCACAAGTTGTCTGCAGGCCTGTAATATAAAGTATCACATACAGATTGAAGAAACTGCAATGTTTTCCCTCTGCACCGCGCTGAATCAACTGTCTTTGCTTTTGACATCATGATGTTTGACCAGACACAATGAAAGGCAGGCTCAAGCATCAATAGAAAATTTCTATTAAGTGCAACCACTGAAGCAGAGTAGATCAAGGCCAACTCCCCACCCCCCTGAGGAATAGATGCAACAAGATTGCTGGCCCCTTGTCCTTTTCAATCTCATCCTCCCACCCACCCTTATTGCATATTGGCTTCTGATAAGGCTCTATCAGCTCGCATTTGTTTAGATGTAAGGGCTTTAATGAAACCCTCCAAAGATGCACATTGCAGATGCCAGCTCTATCATGCAATAAATGTTGTGAGGGGTGCAGGTGGGGGGAAGGAGGGAATAACACAATGTCCTTATTTGTCCTGCCTGCGCCAGCCTCATAGCCTTTGCGTTTCAGAGAATGCCTTCAGGCAGAGAGCACTGGTTCATTCTATATATGTCATGTCACGTCCATTCAATCTGCTGTGATTCCTATAAATTAGCTCACACCTTCCTGTGTAAATCTGTTTTCTGTTCCCCCCAAAAGGATGACAGCTTGGAAAGGAGGCATGTCTCGCAAAAGTGTATGAAGTTTGCAACAGACTGATATGCCCCTCTGGATATAGCCCCTTTGGTACGCAATGAAATGCAAGAGGTGAAAGGAAACGCCGATGGTAAGGATTTTCTGCACATTTACCATCCATTTGAAGCGCTATGATGTCTCTTTAAACAGTCATGGCTTCCACCAAAGAATTCCAGGAGCTGTAGTTTGTTAAACATGCTGGGAGTTGTTAGGAGGCCCCATGTCCTCTCATGGAGCTACAGTTCCCAGAGTTCTCTGTGAAGAGGGATTGGTGGTTAAACCATGCTGAGGCTGAAACTGTAACTCTATTCCCCCCAAAAAAAATAATAATAATATTCATTTTATAACACAAATAAACAGCACAATCAGGAAAACAAACAATAGAAACAGATTCTTGTCTTATCCTTATTTTTTTCTAAACATTGTTGAAACTGTCACTCTAGTGGAGGAAGGAAAGTGGGTGTGGTATACATGTTTTTACATAACGTACATAGAATTGCTGACGCTTTACATCAGGGATGGGGAAGCTGTGGCCCTACAGCTGCTGCTGGACTACAGTGTCCATCAGCCCTGACCATTGCCCATGCACACTGTGACTAATGGAAGTTGTAGTCCACTCCAATGACTCCAATCCGGACTGTTGTCTAAATCTTTCTTTTGATATTTTTAATCTGCTTTAGATACTTTAAATATAAAAGCAGGATATAAGTATAGCCAATCCAATCAGTCAAAGACTACCCTAGGCAGCTGCCTCCTACTCAGAACATTGATCCATCTAGCTCATGTTTTGAAGGGATTGGGATTCTGTGGCCCTCCAAATGTCGTTGGACTGCAATGTCCATTATCCCCAACCAGCATGGCAATGGAGAGGGATGGGAGTTGTAATACAACCTCATCTGGAGAGTGACATTCCCCATATCCAGCTTCTTTGCTGACTGGAAACATCTCTCCAGGGTTTCAGGGAGGACAACATTCTCCAGCTCTACCTGAAGACACAAGGGATTGAATTCATAGCATTATCCATGTAAAGCTCTACCACTGAGCTACCACGAAGGTAGCTGACACCTCATTGCTCCTGGGTATCGACGACTCCAGTATTTTGCAATAAACTTAGGAATATGAAGCTCTCAGTGATAGATAGTTTAGCTTATTCTTTATTTTTTGTGTTCTTACAAGATACCTTCCCCACCTTGGTGAGAACAATGGCATAAGAGTGCACCAGGAAACTGAAACTGAATAAAATATCCAACTAAATGTCGAAAAAACACTGCAGATCTCCCTGTTAAGTTGTAAACAAGACAGTATGGTGTAAATAGAAAATCTCTTCCAAATTTTAAAACCTGGCAGCTCATTCTTTGCCAGAGCAGTTGCTGTTTGATTCTTCAGAAAGACCAACTTGCTGTACATCGAGCCAGCTCAGACAGAAACACAACAACAGAGAATACAAACAAATGGCATCTATTTTTAAACTTGTTTTCCTTTAGTTAACCCACATTCCCACCTGTCTGCCTCTTCTGAAGAGTCAACAAAGCAGATCAAGGAAGAAGTGCCCCAACTTATCATTCCTGTTCACCTCCCTCCAGCTCAAAATCAAATTATTACGGCTACAGGACTGCCTGGAAGGCAGAACCATCTTTTACAAGCAGCTGATGCTATAAAGCTGACATTGATCATTGAAAGAGCAAAAGATTATCTCACTGGTTGCTCTTCTGCCTGGACCAGCTCTTGAACAACAAACAATCATGATGGACAAGTGATTTTTAAATGTGTTGTAATTCACTTGTTGTGTGTTGTAAGTCACTTGCAGACTTTTGGGTAGCAAGTGATTAACAAAAGCAATTTCAACCTCAACAGATGCCTTAAACGGAGTAGACTGATGGTGTCTCTAACCACATATATTTTTTGCCCTGTTTAGGCTGGGCTGAAGAGGGTTCTGGGCTAGGTCTCAGGGAAAGTGACCTGCAACAGAATAATTGCTGATGATTTAATATTGACCCTACAGGAACCAGAATCTAGTACGAAAAGGGTATTGGAACTGATTCAAGAATTTGGGCAAGTAGCAGGTTTCAAGCTGAATAAGATGAAAACTAAGGTCTTAGAGAAAAATTTAACTGTAAATGAGAGAGAGAAATTTCAGGAAGAGACAGGACTAACATTGGTTAAGAAAGTGAAATATTTAGGGGTTAATATGACTGCTAAAAATGTAAATCTCTTTAAGGATAATTATGAAAAATGTTGGATTGAAGTGAAAAAGGATTTAGAAATATGGTCAAATTTGAAGTTATCATTGTTAGGCCGAAT